CTATGCCCATCAGCTGACCACAGGAACTGTACAGAGTTACATAGGTGTGCAGTGGACTTGACACTCTTTGTTGGGTCATGTATTTTTTGCTTAGAATATATTTATCCATTCTGTTTAGGAATAAAGAACATTATCCATTTTTCAATATCAAATGTATTTACATTTTTAAAAAAAATAAAAATAAAATAAATAAAATCACAACATAACCATGTAAAAATACTATTTATTTTTAATGCAACTTTTTCTATTGGTGTTTGTGTGTGTGTGTGTGTGTGTGTGTGTGTGTGTGTGTGTGTGTGTGTGTGTGTGTGTGTGTGTGTGTGTGTGTGTGTGTGTGTGTTTCTTTTTTCCACTCAGGACTTTGATGAATAAATGTACATTTTAACCAAGAACAATAGCTAGAAATGTATATAGCCAGAGCGCTGTTGTGACAAGCATAGAGTGCATTAAAATGTAACTTTCTCTTTATTTACTCGTGCTCTTTCAAAGCCGGTTGGATTCTGGTCTATTTGAATATTTTATAAAAGAAGACTTAAAAAAAATATTCCAACAATTTTGTTCATCTGTGCCTTTTGCATTGAAATTATGGTTTGATTCATTTCATTTTAAACAAATGTTAAAGCTAGCTAGTTACAGTTATAATGCTTGATATGAATTGCCCTATTAGTTGGAATTATGGTCTCTCTGAGATACCAGGTATTATTATTCTCAACATAGTCCTCACATTCTTCTTCTTTTTGTTTTTTATAAACATGTCAGTTCAGGGACTTCTGATGTACAGGTGTTTGCTTTTTGTTCTGACAACTAATTCCTTTCTTTTAGCACACAACACAAATGGCTTGAGGTTTTTGAGTGTGCACCTGGAAGCTTGCAACAGATGCCAGAAAGGCAATGTTACTGTAATTAAAAAGAGGCAATAAAAAAAGTTTAGAACATAGCAAAGAACTAAAATAAACAAAGAAACTTTAAAAGAAAAATTCAATTGTTAGATGAGTAATTAAAATTGTTTTTTTGTATAAACATGGCTCAAAAAGTGACACCAGTGTGACACCAGTGTCAATGCGAGCTTGCTTCTAAGCATTTGCACTTTGTTGAATATGAAAAAGGATAAATTGCTATTAAATTGCTATTAATTGATCATGTGATCCCACTTATAGATGGCTGAGATATGTCATTATATGCAAATCACAGAGTTGGTTAGAGTATCTAAAATCTGTACTCAAGTAAGAGTACAAGTATTTGCGGAAATTTTACTCTAGTAATAGTAAAAGTAACAATCTTAAAAGTTACTCGAGTAAGAGTAAAAAAGTACCTTATGAAAAAAATTACTCAAGTAATTAGTTACTTTTGATTATACGTACACTGCGACGCAGAAGGTAGTGCTGTCACCTCACAGCAAGAAGGTCGCTGGTTCGAGCCTCAACTGGGTCAGTTGTCGTTTCTGTGTGGAGTTTGCATGTTCTCCCTGTGTTCGCGTGGGTTTTCCTCCAGGTGCTCCAGCCTGAAGCCAGCCTGTTATAAGGGGTCTTTCTCTCAAAATGTGGACCTTTTTGCAGTTATTGACCTCATTTACAATGTTTGAGATTTAAATACTGTGTTTTAGTGACATTTTAAGCACTATTTTAGCTGAATTAGCCTGTTAGGTCGTCATCATAATGACACATTTAATGTACCAAAATATTTCCTAAAGATTTAGAATAAAGAAAAATGAATAAATACTTATTTTTAAAATACAAATTCATTAGATCATAAATCATTAGAAAAAATTGGTATCTGTTGAAGTTTTCAATTAAAAACTGTAGCCTATTGGAGCCTACAAACTGGCCAGAACATTCAACTGTCCTCAGTCAGAATTTGGCTATTTGAATAACAAAAAATAAAACATAATAATAATAAAAGAGCTTCATAATTTTTCTAGCCTCTCTTGTACAAAAAGTACATTTGATTTGATTGAAAATTTATTGATAACAAAAATAGCCATATTTGTTTTCAAATTAATTTTAATATAGGATTTAGCTTGATCTTGAAGCCTTTTTCATTAATTTTAAGTATTTATGTAGTATTAGGATTATTAGTATAGTATAAGGATTAATTGTAGTATTTATGATGACCCAGTCATCAAAATAAGACAAATGAGCTCATGTATGGGACAAATTCTAGATTAGCTTTGTCATTGAGGGGTGGGTTTTTCCAACCACCCGAACTCCCCTTGCTATGGGCCTGAATAGTTACCATGAATAAGGTTCAAAATGGGATAATTTTGACACTTACTTTTTTCAGGTTTGTAGCTGGACTTTATGTTTATGCTGTGATGTCAGTTCAATGTACAGCTTGCGTGCATCACATTATCAGACTACTGTTGTCAGCAAGGAGTGAAAACAGACTGAACTTGAGGCCAGGGTGACCTGGTCTGATAACCTCACTACACAGACAGCATGATCGTCCTTCTCAGAACCGCAGATGGCCGTGGCGTGACCGCAGTATAATTCGCAAGTCTCCCTCGTCAACTATCATTCAACATAGGCGCGCGGCTACGCGTGCCCTAACTGAAAGCGGAAGACGCGTCTCTATAGCAACCTCTCACGACACAACCTCTCCAATGCGGCGCTTTGCGATATTTGCAAACAAAACATACGGATCACTTTTATTATCATTTGACAGTAACGGAGGAATGCCATGAAATGTAGCGAAGTAAGAGTACTGATTCATCTCTAATAATTTACTTGAGTAAAAGTACACATTTAAATCTACTCAAAAAGTACTCGTTACCCAATAATTTTACTCAAGTAAATGTAACGTAGTAAATGTAACTCGTTACTACCAACCTCTGGCAAACCATATACAGTATTTAAAGTCAGCATGAACCAGAAGCTTCAGTGTTTTTTTTTTTTTTTTTTGGCTTGTTTTTTTCAACTGCGAGCTGATTGAATCTAGTAAAGTAGTAAATTTTTTGAGAAATATTGAGAAAGATGTTTCGGGAGAGTTATTACAACCTAACAAACAACTCCTCATCACAATTTTTGTTAGTTGTCAAAACTGACAGTTGGAGTAGCGTGGTTAAGTTTTTTTTTTTTCTTAATGATATGCACAGATGAATTGTTTACCACAAAACAAGCAATGTGAGCTAACAAAATCATATGGCTAGTTTTGTAATTTTATTCGTATACTTTAAAATACAACTTTATGTTTATTTTTCAAAGATATGTAAATCTGACATATATGTACATATACTCAAATAAAAGATGTTTGCTGCTTATTTAAATTCATATTGGGGGGTTTGGGGGGGGGGGGGGGGAGGCAACCTAATTGTTTTATGTTCAATCCACTTAAATTTGTTAAGTTAACTTATACAGTTTGTTTTGGGACAACCTAAATGAATGGTATGGAGCTATGCATTTTTGTACAGAGTACAGACATGGAGAACATTATTGTTGATAGCCTTTAGTTTTGTCCAAGTAATTTTCATTAATTAATTTGGCTTTTTTAACGCTTCTTTTTAACCACAATTTTAAATCAACATCTGATTTTCATTGTTTATAATCAGCCATTCTTGATATTTCTTTTTTGATTCTTACTTCCATTTTCGTCATTTTAGTGACCACTGTAGTTTTTGTTTCTTCACTGGAAGGTTACCAACAATTTTTTTCACGTCTGTATAAAACCTTTGTTTTAAAATATTGCGAACAGCTTTGTCATCAGGTACTCTTTTTGAGAACTGAGCCAAAAAACCTTTTGTGCATCACTGGAAATATGTCAGTAATTGTGTTGCAGGCTTATTTAAGGCATGTCCCTAAATGTTCTGCTTGTGCTTCAAAAACGTTCTGTAAGGGGCTACAGAATTGATTAAATGGCTTTAACAGGCAGATTAATGATGACCAGCTGATGTTCTCTATTAACGTTTGTGGGTGAAGGCATCTCGTAAATGCAGTCTTAACTACTTCCAACCAGAAATAAAAATTTTATTGCTGGTCGGTCATGTAACCATCTATTTTAGCATTTGCTTGGTTGTTCGGAACAATATACAATACAGATCTGATACAGTAAACTTATTTTATTACAAATAGAACATGCATTTGATACAATTTAGTCTGTTGTATTACACAATGTTTCATCAGAAATTTACACTAACCAACAGTGATAGCAGTTACTTTTGAACTGTATAGATGCAATAACAAACAGAGTAAAATGAGCAGCCAGAACATGATATACACTCCAAAAATTACGTTTGCTGTTTGTTCAAACTATTTAAAAAGAGCTGAAACAACACAATTATTGTTTTTTAGATAACTTAATTGTTTTATGTTCAATCTACTCAAATTTATTTTAAAAAGTTTTTACCGTGTATACATAAACTAAACTATTAGATTACAAATAATAAAAAATAAATAACATCTATAATTGGAATTAATTTTATTGTAGCACTTGGCATAATGAAAGTACAATTGACAAGCAATTCATTCTAAACCCACATTGCACCCAACTGGATGTTTTCATAAAGACCATGGGGATTTTTACAAAGATACTGTACAATTCAATAAAATCGTTTGAAATTGGCCAAAACTTAATAAGCAATGAACATCTGCTTTGAAAGAAGTGTGAAAGAATTGCACAGAGACTAATCCTAATGTAATGTAAGTAATAATGTAATGTAAGTAATAATACAGGTTGTGAAGGCAAACAGTAAAATACAAATATGTACTTACATTTTACAATCATGTGCATTGAAAGCTTAAGATTATACATTCAAGAGAAAAAGCTGAGCACTATTGTAATCTGAAGACATTTCATTTACATAAGTTATACATATTTTTTTATCAATAAAGTAAGCAGTGTACAACAATGTATTGTGTACTTAAACAGAACATTAAAACTATGTATGGTCTAGGCAAAAACAGAATAGGCACTGTCCATAATGTTACAGATTTTATACTATATATATATATATATATATATATATATATATATATATATATATATATATATATATATATATACATTGTTCTGAAAAGTAGACTTACACACAGGTAAAAATGAAGAAGTTGTTTTCCATGTTGCAGAGTCAAAAATCCATCAATCAGGTTCAAAGATCTGTAAAATAAAGATTTGTATGGAATATACATTCAGTTTGTAGTTTGTATCTCTAAAATAATGGTACAATTATCTTGCTTATATAAGAAACAAAATGTTCAAAGACACTTTACTGTTTTCACAAGAGTTGTGTATTCACATGAATTTAACCTTTGGCATTTACCTTGTCCTAAAACATCTGTTTGACGGAAGAAAAGATCATTTAAATTTATTGATGCTATTTGTGTCAAAGACTCCAGGGTATACTGATACACATCAGCCTTGTTTTGAAAAAGTGGTATAAATGCACATATTGGTATAAATGCACAGTTTTTCCTTTTATAATATTTTATGCAAATGTGGGAGACGTTTATTTGAATGCTCATGAATCTGATAAGCTTTTGCTTTTATTTAAATCTTCTAGGCTTTTACACACTTTGCCGAGCAATGATATCTGTATTGAAAATTGAAAATAACCACTCATTTATCAATAGAAAAGCTGCTTGTTATCCAATTTAACCCAAATACTTCCTTTACTGCCTCAAACAAAGGCACAAGTGGACCATAGACACATCTGAATAAGCTGAGCTGAGGTACAAAGTAAAGTGAGCCTGAGATAAGAATCTCACAACCCCCCTTTATATAGAAAAGGAAAGCAAGTAGCTGGAAGACTGGACATTCCATTGAGGATTTATCAAGACAAAACCAGTGGACTAATCTAAGAGGTCCAATCTGTTAAAATGAAGTGGAACCTCTAATTATATCAGAGCTGTTAGGGCAGGTTTGTAGAGCCAGTTTAAATTTCCATCTCAATGCTTTTTTTGTCCTCGACTACATCAGATTTACTCCTAAGATACAACGTAAAACCTTAAATGTAGCTGAAAGAGTGAAGTTGCAATTTGTTCAATTTCTTTCCATTCATGTATTGAGCTATGTCTGTATCATTCATTCATTCATTCATTCATTTTCTTTTTGGCTTAATTCCTTTATTAATCTAATACACACAGCAGAATGAGCCGCCATCTTATCCAGCATATGTTTTATGCTGCGGATGCCCTTCCAGGTGCAACCCATCACTGGAAAACATCAATGCACTCTCATTCACACACATACACTACAAACAATTAAGCCTTCCCAATTTCCAAGCACCCAGAGAAAAAGCACGTGAGCACACCAACTGACCCAGTCGAGGCTGGGACCAGCGACCTTCTTTCTGTGAGGCGATCATGCTACCCACTGCACCACCGTGATGCCCTGCCTGAATCGTTTGTAATTTAAAGTCTCTTATTTTTTACAGCTTTTCTCTCCGTTGGAATCCATTTAAGAAGTAAAAGTAAATCATTAGTTCAAACCTGAGGCTGAGGTGACACTTCAAGTGCCTTCATTATAGCCCCATGTCTGATTCCAGGTGTGAAAATTGTGATTTGTGTGCCCTAAAATGATGAATTTGTAGTTTAGTTTCACCTCTTACACAATAGATAGTGCTTAGAGAGTCAGTACTCAATTTATCTCCTAAAAGAATCTATCCTGACAGGCCAACACTATCAACCAACAGTGAGCATTAGTCAAAAGCATATTTCTCAGGTCATGAACTCTGCAACACAAGGAATTTGTTTTTGTAATTTTTTCTTTCTCTTAAAATTGACTTTCTTTATATAACCCATAACATAAATAAAAATAATGTAAATAATTTTACAAACAAACATTTTACTTAGATTTGGCTGCTATTCTCATTTGGGAGCTTGCCATTTACACATAATTGAATAATAGGACATTTAAATTACTGGCAGTAATGGTTTTAATGCTTCATGAGTTTGTGCTTCCAGCCATCTCAATGCATTCTGCCAAAGCTGCTTTGTGAAGTCTTTGCTTCTACTAAGAGTTAAACGAGACTGTTGGTGGAGGGGTGTCCTGTCAATCCCACTCTGAGGAATGTGGCTGTGATGCCCAGGGCAGATACGGGCAGGTGAAGGTATCTATCTTTCAACAGTGGCCTGATCACAGCTAGACCTCTGAAGCTGCTGCTCTAGGATACTCACTGGGAATAGAAAGCAGAAAGTGAGAGAGAGAGAGTGGGCTATTGGATGTCCTGACTTTGAATACTGTCTTTTCAGAGCCTCGTCTGTCAAACACGTGATTGAAACTGTGTGCGTGGATGCTCAACTGCACTTATTGCTGTTTCATATTGCTTGTTTGTCACATACATAAATATCCTAAACTAAAACATCTTTAAGTTCAAACTTTAGATTTTTTTGGGATTAAAAAAACACCGGCAACATAATAATACATTTATTTTAGATTGTAATAGTACAATTTAATTAATGTTTGTGGCTGTCTTAATTTCTTCTATTGAGATATTAAACTATCAAGCTTAAACAAAATTTTTGTTGTTGCTGTTTTTTTTTTTTTTGATAATAACTCTTTTGTATGTGCTTTTAAAATTTGTGAAAGTTTTTTTTTTTTTTTTTTGCAAATAAGCAACCAAATCCAAAAATAAGATTTTATGCGAACCTTTCAGGGGCAATTAAAAAGCACTGAATCAAAGCTTTTTTAAAAGTAAATCTCTGTAACATATTCATTAAAGTAAATTGCAGCTTTTGCTGTTTGGTAATCTTGCTAATAATCTTGCTAAGTCATATTGCGATTTAAGCCTCATTAAAACAGATTCACACTTCTCTTCACATCTGTAATGTAACAACAACAATTTTATTTTTTGAGTCCTTGCTGTGATTTGTGGACCGTTGCAATCTGCAAAGACTTGTTTACTGAAACTGCTGGAATGCTAGAAGGTTTGATTCTGAAAAATGACCTTACACTCTTTGTAAGGCTGGTCTCTAATTAGAATTGCTTGACCTTTGTCCTTTCATTAAGTTCCCACCAGGATGATAGACCAGAGATTCAGCAAATGAAGACAACTTGTGTGAACAAGCACAACATTTAGTACACGCACTTAATTTAAGAAAATTTTTTTTGAAAAGTTGACCATATGCTCTATGAAAACACCTCAGTTGTAAAAAATAAATATAAAAATTATTTAAAATTTGTATATTGATTTGTATATTTGTATTGATTTGTGTGTGTGTATATATATATATATATATATATATATATATATATATATATATATATATATATACAAAATACTGGTCAAAAATTTGGCTTCAGTAGGATTTTTTAAATGTTTTTTTTATGTTTTAAAATATTTTTTTCCTGCTCATCAAAGCTGCATTTATTTAATCAAAAACACAGTAATTGTAAAACTGAAATGTTATTGCACTATAAAATAACTGTTCAAAAGTAGTTCATAATCTAATTAAATAATTTATTCCTGTGATTTTAATGATGACTTTTTAGCTTAATTACTCCAGTCGTCAGTCACATGATCCTTCAGAAATCACTCTAATAATTATTATTATTATTATTATTATTATTATTATTATTATTATTATTATTAGGGATTTCCCAATCAGGTTTTTTTTGCCCTCGAGTCCGAGTCATTTGATTTTGAGTATATACCAATATCCAAACCCAATCCGATACTTCCATTTTACATAAAGGCTTAGTAGAAACGATGGAAATTACGGATGAGCTCCTTATGTCTGTGATGAACGAAACATGGCGTACAAGTAGTTTGTCAGAAATCTTCTTATAAAGGTCTGGAGGGCTTCCGGTTTGGTCGGCAACATGTGAAGACGTGTTTGACGGTTCTCCATACTGAACTAGACATATTTTTAACCACAAACGCATTCTCGACCAGATCATGCCGAAATCAAGTAATTAAAACACCAGAGTCTATTTAAAGACGATTTATAGTTAATAATTTTTTCTGCTTCTGGACTTTCTCGAGCCTAATTGGCTATGGCTGGCAAGCGCAACAAAACTGATAAGATGGCGGAACACGTGAAAGGGGGAACAGTGAAAAGCAGAATGGAAACTAACCAAGAGCTCGTCCTCCGGGAAATAAGAGTACTTAAAACGGAGCTACTCATGAAAATGGACGAAAAAGCCGAAGCTCAGGCCACTGAAATTAAAACTCAGTGTCAGCAACTGAGAGACGAGTTCGCTACAGTGATACAGTGATCTTGTTTTTGTTTCAAAATGTCCCAGTATTCATTCCTAAATCCTTCTTTAAGGAGCTGGATAAACAGGTGTCTTCTTTTATATGGAATAAAAGCATTCCACGAATTAGGAAAGCATTTTTAGAAAGGCAGAAAGAAGTTGGGGGACTGGCGTTGCCCAACTTTATGTATTACTATTGGTCATGTAACATTGAAAAAATTGTTTATCTGACAGATCATGAAAATCAGGAGAATGAACCTGAGTGGGTAGAGATGGAGCAGGCATCCTGTGGGACAGTTTCTCTGTTTTCAATGCTTTGTGCCCCACTACCACTTAATAGAAAATATCTGCCAAACAATCCTATAGTCAGTGGTTTAATAAAGATATGGGCTCAGTTTAGGATGCATTTTAAGCAGAAACAAGCACTTTCTTTATTACCCATTACTTCCAATGCATTATTTCCACCATCCTTAATTGATTATGCTTTTCAGATCTGGTTTAGAAAGGGACTCAGATATGCAAGGGACTTTTTTCAAGGAAGTCATTTTATGTCATTCGAACATATGACTAAAGAATTGGATATTCCTAAATCACATTTCTTCAGATATCTTCAGGTAAGAAGTCTAGTAAAAAGGTATTTTAATACACTTTCAGCCCCTCCCATAAGTAGCTGGATTGAGGAGATCTTTGATCTAAATGCATCTGAGGGTGGTCTGATATCAAAAATATACAGTCTGATTCAAAGAGCAGCTGCACCATCTCTAGATTTTCTAAAGAAACAGTGGCAAGATGACTTAGGAAATATAGTTCCAGAGTCAGTCTGGCAATCAACAATTAAGCAAATTCACTCAACATCTATTTGTGTCAAACACGGTTTATTACAATTTAAGATAATTCAAAGGCTGCACTTTTCTAAAAGCAAATTGTCCAGAATATTTCCAGAAATTGACCCAACATGCTCT